CCATATTCCCCCGCCTCTCTATCGCGCTGGCTGCTGTGCATATGTTTTAAATAACAACTGTCTCTCTGGGTCATTTGTGGGTCAGAAATTATGATTGAGCGAATGTTTCAGGGCTGCAGAGAATATGTGGCAGTGGGAGAAAAAGACTGAGGTGAAAGTGCACAGTCAGAGGAGAGAAGCTTGACAGAGGAAGAATGAGAAGACAGAAGTACACAGCCTCTGATTCAGGGATTTCACTCCACTACAACACCTAGCCACCCAGCAGTGGGATCTCAAAGTATCAACTTGTGGCAGAACCACTGGTTTTGTTATTTACTAACCCCCGAAGCACGAGTCACGTCTGACAACCTAACACCACATCACTTCACTTGGTACAGTATCAGTCACTGATATGGTCTGCCTGGTAAAGCAGTGGTAGTCAACTGGTGGGTCACGGCCCAAAAACGCATCATGAAACAGTTTGCAGTGGGTCACAGGCCTTTACGGAAGCAAAAGATTTTGAGAAAAAATTTAAACAATCTGCATATTTTTTTTACCTATTCACACCTCTTAACAGCAGGTGGTGATCATTTCCACATCATGCAAGTTGATACAGCATTTCACGTCGTAGAAAAAGACACACCAACTCTATTGACATTTGCTACCTGAGCAGGGTGAAATGCAGGTACGACTGGGTGTTGGGAAACCATGAAGCTGTTGAAACTGAAGCGCCATTTAGAAACAGAAGACGATTCTCTCAAACAGGGCTGCACAATTAATCAAATTTTAATCACAATCTTGATTTTGGCTGTCACCGTTAAATTAACATTTTACAAAGCAGTCTCTGCTGCATATAAAATCAGGCACTTTCAGCCAACAACCATCAAAAGCTGCCTAATTAGTAAGTGAGCACCAGTAATAATCATGATTTCAAAATTGATTAAGAAAAAAAAATCTGGATTATAATTTTGGTCATCATAAAAAAAAAAAAAAAAATCTGGATTATAATTTTGATCATCATCGTGCAGCCCTGCTCTCAGAGATAAACCCACAGAGTAGTTCAGAAGTTGAAGGCGGGTCATGAAGTTAGACCAGTTAAGAAGCTCTGTTAGAAGGTACTCTCAAACACTTATTCACTACATGGTGACCTATTGCAATGACAGGAACCAAGTCACATGTTTCACTGTTTTATTTGCCATAAACGTTGAAGCAGTTAAAGTGACCAACGTTCACTTTTCTTCTGTTTACATAATTAAGGTTCAGAAGTTTGGCCAAAAGGTAGGGAGAGTGACTTACGATAAGCTGTTTCAGGCCATTGAAGGACTGCTCCACAGAGTTGGCAGTAAGAACTTGGCGCTTTGAGGCTGCCTGCTCTCCAAGGAATCGAACCATGAGGTCTTTTACAGCATCACCCTGCATCCATAAAACAAAACAGAAAAGGTTTACATATTCCAACAGGACACAATAAAACACAGTATTATGAGGTGAGTGTATAATCATGGATCTTTGTCACTCCAAACAATTCATGTTGAGCTGAATTTAACATATTATCCAGTTTCTCATTGACATAACCAACTGCAGACACGATCATTTTACTACTACGACATCTGAGGCTAGTTTAATTAGCTCATTACAGGTGAAACTACTGCAGGTTTCTTAAAGCATAAAATGAAACGTCATAACTTACAAAAAAAGGTATTGACTTAATGAAGGAACATGTTTGGAATTGTACTACATGTCCTACCTGCAGGTTATCAAACTTCAGCCCAGGCATGGTCAGTCTGTTGGTGTC